GAACCATTTTGGTTTGAGTGTGGGGACAAGGGGGACATAAATGTTGAAATGTATGGGTTAATACATTCTGATAAGACAAAATCTATGTTCTTACCAGTAACTGGGGTTCTCTAAATATATTGCCTCGCACAGCCATGCATCTGGAGCCCATGAGCTGGGCTGCACAGACATTAGGACCATTGAAATTAGTTAGCTCTTGGAGGGGGATTCATGTCACAGTGCATCTGTGTGTCAAAATAAAGACTCTGAAGGGAAGCATATAAAGGTCCTCCCTCTCTGCATAGGAAACCGAAGTTCTGAAGAAGTGGGGAAGAAAGAACGGTAAGGGTGAATTTGTGGAGGAAATATACTGAAATTGAAGTACTAACCACCAATCCCCCCACCCCAATACAGTAACTCCTCGCTTAATGTTGTAGTTATGTTCCTGAAAAATGCGACTTTAAGCGAAACAATGTTAGGCGAATCCAATTTCTCCATAAGAATTAATGTAAACGGGGGGGGGGGGGGGGGGCATTAGGTTCCAGGGAAATGTTTTTCACCAGACAAAAGACACACACACACACACACACACACACACACACACACACAGAGTATAAGTTTTAAACAAACAATTTAATACTGGTACACAGCGATGATGATTGTGAAGCTTGGTTGAGGTGGTGAAGTCAGAGGGAGGGATATTTCCCAGGGAATGCCTTACTGCTAAATGATGAACTAGCAATTGGCTGTGCCCTCAAGAGTTAACTCATTGTTGTTAATGTCTACAAGGCAGCACGAATGGAGGGAGGGGAGACGGCATGGCAGACAGAGACACACACCGTGTGTATGAGAGAGAGATGCGCATTGCACCTTTAAGTACACTGACCCCACTCTAAGTACATTGCCTTTTTAAGTAGATCAGCAAGTTGAGACAGCAGCTGCTGCTAGCAAGCTCCCTCTGTCCTGAGCCCTGTCGTGTCCCCGCCCTGCTCTATGGAGATGGGGTAAGTGGGGGACAGGAGCAGGGGGGAGGGGGACACCTTGACATTAGCACCCCTCTTCCCCACCCCCGCAGAGCAAGCAGGAGGCTCCAGGGAGCAGCTCCGAGGCAGAGGGCAGGAGCAACACATGGTAGTGGGGGGAGGGACAGCTGAACTGCCAGCAATTGATAGTCTGCTGGGCGGCTGCCGCACAGGGAACTTAGGGGAGTGGGGAGCTGATAGGAGGGCTGCCAATCCACCCTGGTTCCAAGCCCCCACCAGCTAGCTGCAACAGGCTGCTCTTTCGGCAAGCGGTGGACAAAGCAAGCGGCTGCCAAACAACATTATAAGGAAGCATTGCGCAATTTAAACGAGCATGTTCTCTAATTGATCAGCAACGTAATAATAAAACAATGTTAACTGGGACAACTTTAAGTGAGGAGTTACTGTATTTGCTTTCATATATCCCCACTGTTGAGGATATTAAACAAGCAGCAATTTCATCCCAGGAGTAGGCAATTTCTAACACCTTCTTGTATAACTTGGACTTCATTAGCGACAAAGAGTCCTGTGGCACCTTATAGACCAACAGACGTTTTGGAGCATAAGCTTTCGTGGGTGAATACTCACTTCATCAGATGCATGTTGGACTTCATTGAATTTTACAGGCAACAAGTCCAAGTATCCTGGGTGAGTTCTCCTATCGGGGGTTTTAAATCCATCCCTATTATGAAGGTGGGAGAAGGCTAAGCAAAAGGAGACCCCCCCCTCCCCTCCTTTAGGGCATTGGATAGGAGAAATTTCTAGACAAATACTGGGAAAATCAGACCTTTGTTGAGGCTATTGAATCTGGGAAGATATTGAGTAGTAAGTCAGGCCTGAAGAGGGCACATCCGGAATCTAGCAGAAATGTGCATGATGCACCTGCTGACCCTGAGGCACAATCAAATTCTGACCACTATTGGTGACTGAGTAATTAAATAGGTTGTTCCAAATCTACAAAGTTGTCCCACAAGACACTTCTACAAAGATAAGCAAAATGAAGAATCAGCTTCATCCTGGTGAACTGAAGCCTCAGGGAGGAAGACAGAAAACAAGTCTGGTCAACCACGAATGATATCAAGCCATGAACCCGGGCTCAGATCAACTCATAATCTGGATATCTGACAATAAAGATAATCTGCCACTATGAATGAGTACAAATAGGTAGACATCCCAGATGCTGCAGCACAATCTAAACACCCTTTACAAGTAAATAGTTCAAGTGGACTACACCTCCTCCCTTTTCATCTACTTCTGACTTTGGCGTAGAGGCTGAGCAAAAAAATACCACAGATTATCTTAATTTTAGATGTAGACTGGTTTGCCCTGCAACATGCTAAAGGCCCAGAGTGTGCCACGAGGGTAGGTGTTTGGAAGAAGGGTACTGAGGGTTACTTTCTGACTCATGAGGAGGATTCTACAGGGAGCTGACCCACTTTCTAGTTGATGTTGAGGGACAAGTTTATGCTTTTGTTCTTAAAATGGCTAGATGGTGTCACATCCTAGATAGCTGAAAGTGCCAAAAGCATAAGAGAATGCCCACTTGGAAGCTAGACCAGAGACCTTACGCAGAAGTGGCAGGAACAGACAAAATGCATTGATACTTCAGAGGAGAGGGATGTAAAAGTGGCTGTCTGTGCTGGGTGCTACTTTTATGGGCAGCTGTCAAAGATACTGTAGCATCTTCTAATGCTTGACAATCACTTCTTGTCCTTTCAAATGTGCTTTAAGGCCTTCGGACAGGAGGAGGCAAGACTTGTAACTGCCCTCAAAAAGGTTGCAGGCTAGGAAGTTAAGGTCTCTTCCATGGGAAATTTGGAGGTACTTCTCTTGAACCCCGTAAGCCTGAGAGTTAATCAAACACTCCTTTTGTGTATGAGTGAAACATGTTCCCAGGCCAGACTTACCTTCAGCCATAATGAGCCAACAACAACAAACCGAGCTAAACCCAAGCTCCACAGTCTCCTAAGAAAACAATTATGACTAAGATTTGAAAAACAAGAACAGAAAAGAAAAAAAATACTCAAATTTTGGAACTGATGTGAAAAAAAACAACCACGTTTGTTGAGAGACCAGAAGTCCTGAGCTGTGCGGATATGAAGAGGACAGGGAATGAGGATGAAGGAGTCATTTACTCCTTAACAAACACTGATCTTCTCACCAACACATATGGCTCAAGTGGTTCTCGGAACTCCGGGGAATCTGTGGAGATAATATTTAACCTTTTGTCCTTCCCTTGAGAAATTAAGAGTGAGATTTTCAAATGCCTTTGGTGCTGGCTAATCTCAATTCCCATTGAAGGCAATGGTAAAACCCCTATTAACCTCAATGGGAGCTGACTTTGAGCCCTTTTGAAAAATTCCATTCCTGGTGTGCAAATAAATGCAAATGTGTAAAGTGGAGTAGAAAAAGAACTCAAATAAAAAATGAAAGTCTAAAATAAAATTTGGCTTTCCATGGTCAAACTAGGGGGAGTCCAATGGTAAAGATGACATATAACATGGAGAGAAAGCAGCAGGAGCTATTATGGACAAAGCCAAGGTTTTCAACAAAGAATTCACACATGCAGCTATGGAAATAAAACATAATCCAGAGGTGATAGCACCACAACTGAGAAACTAAAGTAAATGAAAAATAAGGATGACTAAGGGCACGTCTTCATTACCCGCCGGATCGGCGGGTAGCAATCGATCTATTGGGGATCGACTTATCGCATCTAGTGAAGACGCGATAAAATCGATCCCCGATGGCTCTGCCGTCGACTCCGGAAATCCACCGCGGCAAGAGGCGGAAGAGGAGTCGACGGTGGCGTGGCAGCGGTCGACTCGCCACCGTCCTCACAGCCAGGTAAGTCGACCTAAAATACGCAACTTCAGCTACGCTATTCACGTAGCTGAAGTTGCGTATCTTAGGTCGACCCCCCCCCTCCAGGTAGTGTAGACCTAGCCTAAGTAGTATTTATTATGTCCCTTCACAGTTGTATACTATTATCCCATCTCTATTTTAATGTCTCCTCAGATGCCTGCAATTGTCATTCCATTTCCAGGACTTGCCCCTTTGTTCTTCAATATTGAATTAGCTAGTTTTACCCTCCAATGCTTTTCTTAACACTCCTCTTCTTCCACATTGTTATTCCACTCTCTCTCTTTTGACTCTCCCGTTTCTATGCTTCCCACTACCCTTGTTCATTTTTTTTTTCTGGAGCTCATTCAGTTGAATTGTAGCATGTTTCTATTCTTCTTTTCTACAGATATAAGTAAGTTTTTATATCATATCTAGCTACTGTGTATATGTCGCTATCTCTTCAGCAGGATATTGAACTACTAGCACTGATAGCATTGAAAATATTAAGATAAAGTAAGGGAATAAAAAAGCTCTTTTGGCTTTTGCTGTCTAGTTCTTAAAAATGAACCCAAACATTTAACTCTCCCCTTTCCTTTATTGCTCTTAATAATGCAATCTTTCCACGAGCAGCTGAATAGTCAAACAAACAACAGCAGGCATCAAAAGCATTGACGACTGGCTCTGGAACACGGAGTGTGCTTAATGAACAAAGATAATATAGGATTTAAGCTGTGCTTATTGGAGATGTATACATTTTAATATGATGCACTTGCTACTGAATATATGTTAACTTACTTTTGTCTTATAAAAAGGCCCAAATCTCATCTGTGCTTCCCATGATGACAGACACACATGCACATGACTAAGGAACAGGTTGGGTACATTTCTAAAAGCAAACACCATTTGATGAAACAAGATTTTAAGATCACAGAAATTTGTCTATTATGATGTCTCTTTTACCATACAGCTTTTCATGAAAAGGTTGGATTGCTGGATTTCTCTTTACATGTGTTTCTGTTCACCTTTAAAGATACAAATCTAGCAATCAAGTTAAAATAGTATCCAACAACAGAGATCCAAGACAACACTTGGAGGCTTTCAGGACAATGAAAGAACACTGGGAATCTGGACCTCCCGAGAGCATAGAAAGCTTACCTTCAGCAGTGCCTGAGATACCGTCAGCTTTAAAATTGCTAGTGCTTTTCTTCCTACGATGTTTCTTTCTGTTGGCATGAGGGGAGGGAGGAGGATCCAGTTTGGGACTTGTGGTACTGGATATACTTGGACTTGAACACACAGAATCTCCCAAACCAGTATCTGCAATTTGACACAAAGCAGACAAAAAGTGAAAAACTCTATGAATAATGCATAATTTTAAATAAATGCCTGAAAGATCCTGCCAAAATAAGAATGTTGTGAGAGATTACAGTTCTGTACTGCCTAGTACTTATTTATATTAGGACATATTCAGATTCGTTTTAACTTACCATCCAAAGATTACAGGAAAATCCACTACTTTTTGCAAAAAATATTCACTAGCAAATTGGTTAAGGACTGATCCAACTCCCACTAAATCAATGGGAGTCTTTCCACTGACTTTAATGGGAATTCAAATGGGACATAAAGCTGGGAGATTAGTTTAATAGTTCCAGGTGTTCTCCTCACCACAGAGAGCTTACTGCTACCCAAAACACTCAGTTCATACTAGGAAATCGGAAAATATATGGGAAAAAGTGTGACTGCATGCTTCCATTGAGTATTGTTCATTTGTCTTCAACAATGCTAATCAATCAGAAGAAAGATAAAAATGGTGGGGTTGGCCAAAAATAGAACAACCATTTTTCTTTTTAATGTGAATAATTATTAAAAAAAATCGAAATGTGATTTTATTAAAATATCATTTCTCCCACATAACGACGATGGGGTATCTGATTTGTGTATACTTACAGATAGCCAATACATTACAAAAAATAACATTTTCTCACTACTTTCCCACTACTGTAGTATTCTAGGATAATATACAAAGTTTTCTGAGCAATAATGATGGCAAGTAGTTTTTCCCTCCATAATTAAATAAATCATGAGGCACAAGGTGGGTGAGGTAATATCTTTTATTGGACCAAGCTTTGTTAAAACAGAAATTGATCCAATAAAATGTATTACCTCACCTACCTTGCCTTTCCTGTCCCGGAACAACACAGCGACAACACTACAAACATAAATCAAGTCATCCCTTTTGTATTAAGCCAATCAAAGGTAAGATTACTTAAACATAGCAGCTATGCCATCTCTCATACTTTCATAAATACATTCCTATTCCTGCATGTCTATTCTATACCCCATGTTTAGGTACTGAGGGATAATGATGTGAAACAGAATGACTCATCTAAAAATCTCTATCATTCTTAAAGCACATGTGCTGTTGGTGGGTTATTTTATAGTATACACGCTCTTAAGGGCCAATTTCTCTGATAGGAGTTGGCAAATACAGAAAAAGGGGAAAGTCCCTCTGATCTGCTGGTTTGGCAACTCAGTACATATATGGCAGCAATACAGTATAAAAATTACATCATCACGACCATGTATTTCATATATTTTTAAAAAACCATTACCACCACCACACTGATTCAAGCCAAAAAGTGCAAGGAACCCACTAGTCACAAGTGGTAGGAATTAGTAATACCACCTAGACTTGCCATACTGTCGAAGCCATGCCATTTTGGATTTTTAACTGACACTAGATTTTCATAGGTAACCTTAATTTTGGTATTTCTTAACTATTGAGTGCTTGCTTTGTAACTTTAATCTTCTCTTAACATATTTTTTGTAATGGAATATATAAATATGTCAGCAGAAAAAATAATGTAATAATCCTTTACAGTAAATATACTATCAATTGAAATAGATTTTAAAATTCCTCTCTCTTGAATAGAGAAAAATAATATAATCTGTGATTCATTATCACTGGGCCATAGTCTCATGTGAAAACCTTGCAACTGGATCTATTAATGAGGACTTCTCAATTATGTGCAGTCCCACTGAAGTCCAAATTAATCCCCTTAATAAAGTCATGGGACACAGCACAGGCATGGGGCGCTACACGAGAAGACCCCATTAAAGGATTGGGGCCCTCTGATTGAATGGATCAACACAATCAACAACCAATTGACATGAGATATATAATGCACAAAAAAGGCAAACTATATATTTGTTATACCTAATATTCTATTATTTTGTTAGTTTGTTGACATAATACAAAAAGAAAAATGAAAAAAGCATATTGGAAATTAGCCAATAAGCACTAAAATACTAATTCAGAGTACATCTTTTTTCCCCTTGTAAACTTGATAAAGTATCTATAAATAAGCAAAGCCAAATATGAACCTCAAAGGAAAAAGTTCAAATTAAAGTATTTGCTAGCTTCCCCACCCCCGCCCTTTTCAGCACATCAGTCTTAAAAAAATAAAACAGGAATATCATTTAACCAGTTTTAATTATATGATGGGATACTGTGTTGAAAGAAATACTTCTACTGTACTTTTCCTCTGAATCTGTAGGTGGTTTTTTACTGAGGATATACTTCTTAAGAGTCCTTCATTCAGTCTCTGATCAAGGGTAGATAAGACTTCAGTTAAATAGCTATTAATGTTTTGGCTACGAACAGTGTTAAATATGTATAATTATTTTTTATTTACTCAGTATAACGTCCCACACATTAAGAAAATACTCTAAAAGATTAAAGAAAATGGAACTGCTAGAATTTCTGTGTTCAAGAACAAAGATGAATTCTTTTCCATGCAGCGTTTAAAACTGCTTACACCTGATTTGAGAGAGACAAGGTGGGAAAGGTAATATCTTCTACTGGATCAGCTTCAGTGGGTAAAAAAGACAAGCTTTCGAGCTCCACAGAGCTTTGTGGTGCTCAAAAGCTTGTCTCTTTCACCAAGAGAAGTTGGTCCAATAAAAGATATTACCTCGCCCACCTTCTCTCTCATAATCAAGGACCAACACAGCCACAATAACACTGCAATACTGCTGATTTGATACTTTCATACAAAAATCAAACTAGTTTCTTAATGTTTAAAAAAAAGGTTAAGAAACACCTTATAAGAAAATATCTGATTTAATTATTGAATAAATGGTTGTTTATTAATTACACGCTTAGTTTGAAAATACTGAAAGAGCTGTGGGTGGCAAATGACACATGCATATTTCAGGGATTTTAAAAAATTCCTGTAAAAAGCCTCATTATTCCTTTTTCCATGTCTGTAGGAGTATTTTTAAATTAGGCAATTTATGATGTAACCTGAAAGAGAAGCATGGGGTACATATTCACTGTACAGTAGATCTAAGTATCTGTAAAAAGAGGTGCTTGAAGCAGGACACAGCTTTAAAGACAGTGACTTCTCCAAGCGCAAAGAAATAAGAAAATAAATTCTGGATTAGAACAAGTTGCTTCTCCTGAGAAGATTCAAAATCCATTTGGGAAGGGTCTTTTCTCTTTTCCTCTCCATTTGATACTGAGAGAAGCTGCAGCAAAAATAAAATGGATGAAAAAGATACAGATGCAAGACCAAATTAGCGAAGCAAACAGACAGATCATCACTTGTTCTGTATGTTTTCCTTTATGTTTGATGCCAGGAATGATCCGTACTTAGGACACTAAAAACATGACATTGCCAAAAAAGAAGAGACTCCTATGTTTAAATGCGACTACTCATAGTTAAGGCTGAGAGTGTCACGGAGGTCACGGATTCCGTGACTTTCCATGACTTCTGCAACGGCTGGTGCTAGCTCAGGCAGCCCCTGGGCCAGCAGCAGCAGTTTGTGCGTGTGGGAGGGGGCTCAAAACTAGGCACAGGGGGTTGGAGGGTGCAGGGGGCGCTGCTTACCTTGGGGTGGGGGGGCTCCCACTGGCATGTCCCTGCAGCTCCTAGGCAGCGGAGGGGCCGGGGGTGGGGTGGGGGTGGCTCTGCGCTGTGTGCTGCCGGTGTCCGCAGGCCCGTCCCCTCCCATTGGCTGCGGTTCCTGGTGAATGGGAGCTGCGGCAGCCGGCACTTGTGCCCCTCCGCCGCTTAGGAGTTGAAGGAACACGGCGCTGGAAAGGGAGCCCCTGCCAACCCTCCCCACCCCAGCACGAGTCCCGTGCCGTGCCCCATCTCCCCCTCCCCCAGCACCAGTGCCCCCTCCCAAACCATCCCCTCCCCAGAGCGCCCATGGCCCCCCACCCAAGTTTTCGTCACAGGTATTTTGAGTAGAAGTCATGGACAGGTCACGGGCCATGAATTTTTTGTTTACTGACTGTGACCTGTCCATGACTTTTACTAAAAATAGGCTACATTTTAGTCATGGGTATTTTTAGTAAAAGTCATGGACAGGTCATGGGCATTAAACAAAAAATTCCTGGCCCGTGACCTGTCCATGACTTTTACTAAAAATACCCATGACTAAAATGTAGCTTTACTCATAGTATAAATCATGGTTAGTGTTCTTATGGCTGTTAATATTTGCTAATGCCTGTGTGGGTGTATTAATTACTCCTGGGGGCCTTCTGCGCCAAAAAACTCTGCAAATTTTGTCAAAATAAGACTACATAACACCAGTTTCAATTATTTTGGTAATTTATTTCAACATACCTGTCAGCAAGTATATCTGTAACAATACAGACACACACAAAAATCCACCCAGGAGTAGAGAGTTAAAGAAACCCCCATGACAACCCAGTTCCTGTTTCTCTTCTCCCCACCCCTCCCAGAGCCCAGCCAGGGGGTCAGATACCCACAACCCCTCCCCCTAAGAGCCCAACTGCAGGGCCCCCCTAGCCCAGATACCCGCACTCCCTCCCCCTCAAAGCCCAGCCTCGGTGTCGTCCCCCCCCGCCCCAGATACCCACCCCTCCTTGCCCAGATACCCGCAACCCCCCCACCAGAGCCCAGCCACGGCCCTCCCAGCCCAGACACCTGTCCCCTTTCTCCCACTCCAGAGCCCAGGGATCCAGAGGGAGAAACAGCCTGATGCTTGGTCCCAGGCTTGCAGTTTCCTGCGTACTGCCATCTTCTTCCCTCAGGGCATGCTGGGAACTACAGCTGCCAGGAACCGTCTACCTCCCTCCCCACAGCAGTGTCTTCTATGTGTGAGCTGGGCTCTGCCGGGTCAAGTGGCCCCTACTGGCAGCTAGCAGCACTGCAGCCCATTTCTGTGGGGGAAAGGAAATTCTGCACGCTCAATGTTAATTTCTGCAAAATTCTGCATTGTGCAGTGGTGCAGAACTCCCTCAGGAGTAACTAATGATAAGGTGATGAATAAAGTGTCCTAAT